ACCCATTTTGGGGTGAATTTGGGGTTTTTTGGTGACCCCTCTGTGCTCTCCCTCCCCCCAGCCATGGAAGGCCTTGGGTTCCTGGACGCCCTGAACTCGGCGCCCGTCCCCGGCATCAAGATCAAGAAAAAGAAGAAAGTTCTGTCCCCAACAGCGGCCAAGGTGAGGGACAGTTTGGGGACATTTTTGGGGACGCTTTGAGCCCCTGTTTGGGGACGTTTTTGGGACACTTTTAGTCCCTTTTTGGGGAAATTTTTGGGACATTTTGGTTCACTTTTTGGTGACTCTTTCAGGATATTTTGGGGACACTTTGGGGACATTTTGAGTCTCTTTTTTGGGGATGTTTTGGGGACACTTGGAGTCCCTTTTTTGGGGTCACTGAATGCCTTTTAGGTGAAGGCTTTGGCGGCCATTTTGTGGACTCTTTGGGTGCCATTTTGAAAACCCATTCAGTCCCTTTCTGTGGGACAGTTTGGCAGCCATTTTGGGGACGCTTTGGCAGCCATTTTGGGAATTCTTTGGCGGCCATTTTGGGCTGAAACCTCCCTCTTCTGACTCTCCAGCCCAGCCCCTTCGAGGGGAAGCCAACGCCCGAGCCCAGCACGGCCAAACCCTCGTCCCCAGAGCCGGCGGCCGCAGAGCCCATGGACACAGAGCGGCCGGGGACACCCGTGCCGGCCATCGAGGTGCCCGAGCCCATGGACACAGGTACGGCCTGGGGGGGCTGGGGACACCTGGGGCAGGGTTTGTGTGGGTTTGGGGACGGTTTAGGAAGGGTTTGTGTGGATTTGGAGTCAGTTTCGGTGGGATTGGGGACAGTTTAGGGACATTCTGAGGGGATTTGGGGACATTTTGAGGGGATTTGGGGGACATTTTAGGAGCATTTGGGGTTGTGGACATTTTGGGTGGGATTGGGGACAGTTTGGGGATATTTTGAGGGGATTTCGGGCAGTTTAGGGACATTTTGAGGGGATTTGGGGCAGTTGAGGACATTTTGAAAGGATTTGGGGCTGTTTGGGGTCATTTTGAGGGGATTTGGGGCAGTTTGGGGACATTTTGAGGGAATTTGGGGACATTTTAAGGAGCATTCGGGTTTGTGGACATTTTGGGTGGGATTGTGGAGGGTTTAGGGACATTTTGAGGGGATTTGGGGCAGTTTAGGGACATTTTGAGGGGATTTGGGACAATTTAGGGACGTTTTGAGGGGATTTGGGGCTGTTTGGGGTCATTTTGAGGGGGTTTGGGGGCCATTCTAGCAGCATTCGGGTTTGTGGACATTTTGGGTGGGATTTGGGGCAGTTTAGGGACGTTTTGAGGGGATTTGGGGCCGTTTTGAGGGGATTTGGGGGTGATTTTAGGACCACTTTGAGTCCCTGTTCGGGGACCATTTCGGTGCCATTTTGAAATCCCCTCAAACCCCAACAATCCAGGCGCCATTTTGGTGTCACTTTCCCCATTTTTCTTTTGGCCACAATTCCACCCCCCCCCCCCCGCCTGCCATTTTTTGGGATCCCCCCCCCCCTCACCCCCATTTTTGGGGTCCCCCTTTTCACTGACGTCTCTTGCTGTCCCCTCAGGCTCCTCAGAGACGGGGGGTGACCCCAAAAGCTCCGATGTCCCCTCAGAGGGGGGCCCGGCCCCGCGCAGGCCCCGCAAGAAGAAATCGGTGTCGTGGCCCGAGGAGGGGCGGCTGCGCGAGTATTTCTACTTCGAGCTCGACGAGACCGAGCGAGGTGAGCCCAAAGTGCCGGAATTCACCCCAAAAAAAAACCCGGGAGAACCCCGGGGTGTCCCCCAGCGNGGCTTTGGGGGTCCCTGGGCTCGGCTTTGGGGGGGCACAAAACTCGTTTGGGAAGCCCAGAGCTGATTTTGGGGGGTTTGGAGCTGATTTGGAGGAATTTTGGGAAATTTTTGGGGGGGGTTTAGAGCTGATTTGGAGGAATTTGGGGGAATTTTTGGGGCTGATTTAGAGGAATTTTGGGGGGGTTTGGGGTAGTTTTTGAGGTGTTTTCAGGACTGTTTTTGGGGGCAGTTTTGGGGGGTTTTGGGCTATTTTGGGGGTGCAGTTTCAGGGCCACTTTGGGGGCAGTTTTGGGGCCATTTTGGGGGGTTTTGGCCATTTTGGGGTGCAGTTTTATGGCCAATTTAAGGGCCACTTTGGGGGTGATTTTAGGGCCATTTGGGGGTTTTTTTGGGCCATTTTGGGGTGCAGTTTTAGGGCTTTTTTGGGGTCATTTTAGGGGTGACTTCAGGGCTTTTTCGGGGCAATTTCGGGGGTCTCGGGTGTATTTTGGGGGCAGTTTTGGGGGTGTTTTTGGGGGTGATTTTAGGGCCATTTTGGGGTGCAGTTTTATGGCATTTTTGGGGTCATTTTAGGGGTGACTTCAGGGCATTTTTGGGGCGATTTCAGGGATCTCAGGTCTATTTTTCAGCCAGTTTTGGGTTATTTTAGGGAAACAATTCTGGAGTTTTTGGGGTGCAGATTTTTGGGAATTTTTTTGGGGCGGTCCTGACCCTTTTTTTTTTTTTCTCCCCCCAGCGCCCCGACAGCCCCAGGGGAGGCTCCTCTGGCAGAGAAGAAATACAAACCCCTAAACACGGCCCCAAACGCAGCCAAGGAGATCAAAGTGAAGATCATCCCCCCACAGCGTGAGTTTTGGGGGATTTTTGGGGATTTTTGGGGTTTTTTGGGACACCTGGGTGCCATTTTTGGGGGTTGATTTTCAGGTGCCGTTTGCGCTTTTGGTTTTGGGGGAAATTTTTTTGGGGGGATAATTGGGGTGAAATTTGGGAGCTTTTTAGGGAGAGGCTTTCGGTGCCAGGTTCCATCTGGGAGTGGTTTTTGGGGACAGTTTGGGTGGTTTTGGGGGTGATGTCATTCTGAGACCGAGTTTTGAGGCCCAGAATTTTCAAAAAATTCGATTTTGGGACTGATTCGGGTCCAGTTTGGGGAGATGATTTAGGGGCCATTTTGGGGTGAACTTCAGAGCCATTTTAGGAGCGATTTGGGCGCCATTTTAGGTGCGATTTGGGCGCCATTTTAGGGTGGATTTGGGCGCCATTTTAGGGCGGATTTGGGCGCCATTTTAGGGCGGATTTGGGCGCCATTTTAGGAGCGCTGTGGGCGCCATTTTAGGAGCGCTGTGGGCGCCATTTTAGGAGCGCTGTGGGCGCCATTTTAGGGTGGATTTGGGCGCCATTTTAGGAGCGATTTGGGCGCCATTTTAGGAGCGATTTGGGCGCCATTTTAGGGTGGATTTGGGCGCCATTTTAGGAGCGATTTGGGCGCCATTTTGAGGCAGGTTTGGCACCCATTTTGGGGTGAATTTGGGGTTTTTTGGTGACCCCTCTGTGCTCTCCCTCCCCCCAGCCATGGAA